AGATACTTAATTTCACTTTTAGCCAGTCATCAAGGTGAAAGTCTACTGTCAGCAAAACAATGTATCAAATCCTGTTTTCTTTTCTTGTTCAATTTTCAGGTGAAGGAAAGTGGCTCCGAAACATTGACTATTACCGTTTAGATGGATCTACAACTGCACAGTCAAGAAAGAAGTGGGCTGAAGAATTCAATGATGAAACTAATGTGAGGTAGCTAACATTTTCTCTGTCTATAAACAGTTTTAAAATTAATTTTACATTTACTTGAAGCAAAATTCACTGTTTTTAATGTACACTTCTATAATTTTTGATAATTGAAGGATCTTTGTTTCACTGCTGTCAACTTAAAACCAACTCATAGCTGACCCTCCAGTGGGTTTTCTGAAAACTGTTAATCTCAGAGTTTTTCCTGGAGAGCCACTGGTGGATTTGAAGTCCCAGAGAGGCATGGCTTAGCACAATGGACGATGCCAAGAAAGCTCCCTAATTGTATGATAATACAATAAAATTAGGAAATAGTGAATGTCCCACAATTTTTCAAACTATTGTGGTTGGACATTTAGGCTGTTTCTGTGTACTTCTGATAGTGAATAACAGTGCTATGAACTTTGATGTATCTCTGTGTGTCTGTTCTATTTTCCTTGAGGTATGTTTCATGGGATACATATTCTTAGCAGTAGACTAGCTGGGTCATAAGGAGTTTTGAGGAAATGTCAGATTACTTTCAGAGTAGTTTTACCATTTTATAATCCCACCAACAATATATGAGAGTTCCTATCTCTCCACGTCATTTCCAACATTTATTGCTTACTGCTACTGGGCTAAGATGGTATTTCATTGTGATTTTGATTTGAACCTCTCTTATTGCTAGTTATTTTTGCACATTTGTTCATGTGTCTGTTAGACATCCAAATATCTTTCTCTGTGAAAACTCTTTCCTCTGTCTCTTGCCCATTTTGTAAGTGGGCTGTAAGTGTTTACATTTTGGAGGCCCTATTGGGGTCTATAAACTTTTATTATGAGACCCTTGCCAAGTTTTCTTTCCTAGTCAGTAGTAGTTTTTTCCACCCTATTACAAAATTGTTTTTGCTGTTTTATTTTAGTTTTGTTTTTTGAGTTTTTTTAACCAAAGTTTTATTTTATCTTGGTGTTTCACATTATTCTTCATTCACATTGTGTTTCATACAATCATTCCCAGTTATTGAATTTTATAAAAGTAATCCTTCACAAGGCTTGGGGAGTGGAGTCTCCCTCCACTCTGGAAGTCGCCTGGCTAACTGTTGGGATGGCTGGCGTTTCGATGGCGGGTCCTCTTGGTAGAAGTCCGGCAAGGGACGTTTCTGGGGTCCTTATCATTGTGTTACTGTTCTTTTTGCCCTTCAAAAATGGGTGGGCAGCCCTTACCCTTAAAGTAAGGGTAAGTAAGGGTAGAGCCTGCTCCAGGCTTCTGCTTAAAATCCTGTAGGATTTTAATTTTTTAAATTGTTTTAGGTGAAACATTATTCTAGGTCATATAACCCTGCTGTACAGAGGTAACTCGTGGTTGCTGTGCAGCCAAACACTGTGACAGTGATGTGTCAAATGCGAGAATCGTTACCCATGGTGGACTGTGTTTGGTGGAGCTCCCCGATTAAAACAAGCTTGGAAGCAGGAGTGGTATCCACTTCCGTAATAGTTTGCCTGTGGAAACCCTATGAACCTGAAGAAAGGATGAAAGTTATACAGGGGTCCAGGTTTTCGTTCATAGGGTCGCTATGAGTCGCCTATGACTCAATGGCACTTAACGACAAGAAACAGCAGTCAACTTTGAACTCTTCCTATCATTGCCCTGATTTTCCAGATCCCTGCTTTATCTTTCCTGTTTGCTATACTCATCCCTTCCTCCACTTATCAAATTGTGTGACCCTGTGATTTCTGCCATGCCTATCCTCACCCTTCTGCTCCTACTCTCCCCCATGTGAGTCTCCATACATGTTTTACTAGATGTTGTTGTTGTTATGTGCCATTGAGTCGCTTGCACCTCATACTGACACTATGTACAAGAGCTCTAAATGTTGTTCTATCCAGTGCCATCCTAGCCATCTCAAAAGCACTTATTCCCACCACTCCAGTCACAGAATCGATCCATCTCACCAAAGGTCTTCCTCTCCTTCACCGCCCCTCCACTCTGCCAAACATGATGTCCCTTTCCAAGGACCAGTCCCTCCTTGCAACATGCCCAAAATACGTCAGATGAAGCTTCAGAATCCTTGACTCCAGGGAACACTCTGGCTTCACCCTCTCCAGGACAAACCTTTTTGTTCTCCTACCAGTCCATAGTATATTCAACAAGCTTCTCCAGTACCACAGCTCAAAGGCATCAATCCTCTTTCTTTCTTTTTTTTTTTTTTTAACATTTCCACTGTGGATTTTATTGAGAAGGTAGTTACAGTAGTGTTGACCTGGTTTGCACGCATGCAGTCAGCTGGGGCTGAGGGTGGCTCTCTGCAGAACTGAGGTGCAAGCTAAGGGAGCCAGGCAGGTCAGAGGCTCTTCCAGCTTTCTCAAGCTTCTGGCCATGTTCTCAACAACGCTAGTCTCTCTGGCATGATTAGGAACACTATCAGAGAAACACCCAGTGGGACTACCCATACATTTTGTCTCAGAAGCATCCAGTGCCCCCGCCCCCAATCCAACTCTTGACCCAATACAAAAAAAGATTGTTAGCAAGATTTCTTCTTGCAGGAAAGCTGACTTGGAAGTTTGAGGTGGGAGGAAGGAACAGGAAGAGGAATGGGGCAAGATGTCCTTTCTAGGTAGCTACAGTAAGAGCCCTTGGGCCTGGAAGAAACCTTGCACTGCAGGTCCCTCCAGTAGCTAGGAACTAAAAGCAAGGAACAGAAGCAAAGTCAAGTCCCTTGCTATCCTATCTGCCTTTTGGTATTCTCTTTAATGATCTAAGGAAATACATTTACGTTTATAATTAGAAGATAATTTGGAAAATATACACCATTTACAAGGGCCAGTGCAGAAAAGTCTGTGGGCCTGGAATGGAAAGTTTGGAGAGTTCCAAGTCCCATTCACTCTGGTTTTCGCTGTGCTCCCCCTTCAGCCTCCAGTAGCAGAGTAACCAGAGTCCTCCTGGGGAACTAAAGGTGGCAGAGAGACCAGTTGCCAGAGCTTTGCTGTCTTCAGAGGCCTCAGTGGCAATAAAGGTGCCACTTCTGCCTTAGCATCACCAGGAGCGGTGGAGCTAAGGAGCTTACACGGTTGCTGACTGCTGTTCTCTTTCAGAAGGTTCGGGGGACACTGGGCCTGGACTGCCTGGCTTCATGAGTGCTCCATATGGGTAGTTTGAGCAGCAAGGCTGTGACCAGGTCCCTACCGCAGTTCAGGAATGAACTGAGACCAGCTACTGTTATCAGGGCCCAGGAAAGCTGATGTCCAGCAGGATCTTGCTGAGGCTGTCATTCATTGTGTCCAGAACCAGACCCTCTGTCAGAGAGCGATTAGCTGAAAGATTGGCGACCTGTGGTTTTGGGGAGCCTGGCTTGAGGGCATCCATATCTGAGGAGGCATAGCTGATGTAGGGGTCAGAGGTAAGGTCAAAGGGTTCTGAACTGAGGAACTCTCGGGGGGTGCCAAAGGGGAATACTTTTCAGTGGAGTGGTGCTGAGTAGGGAGTCAGGCAGGGGACCAAAGGCACCTTAGGGGGTTCTTACTGGGCTGAAATCAAGCCCCCCTTCTTTTGCTGGGGGGAGGTGAGCTTCCAGGACTCAGGAGTCATGGAGAGGACAGATTTGCTCGGGGTGGAGGAGATGGGCAGCATCTCCTTAATGGGCGTCTTGAAAGGTCCTCCTTCCTCCTGGGAGTAGCCAAGCTGCGAGGTCTGCTCAGAGGGATCCGCTAGGAAGGGGAGCTCAGTTCCTCGGGACGTGTTGGGGCCCTCTGAGAATAGCAGCTCGGGCTCATCCACACAGGGAGGCAAGAGATGCTGTTTCCTGTGGGACCGGCTCCTCTCCCTCCTCTCTCTCCATTTAATCACAAGCATTTCAGACACACACTGCGCTGGGGACTTGAGCCCACTATAGGATTTCTTGGGCTTTGGTGTGGGAGAGCCAGACGAGTCCTCCAAGGTTTGAGGGGATTCTTCTTTGAAGGAGGGGGAGGGCCATTCTTCCAAAGGAGGGCTCTCTACTTTGATGTGTGGCAAAATATGGTGTTTCCTCCCCAGGCTGGATCTCTTACTCCTTGATGGACTGGACTGGGAGCAAAGGGGACAGCCCTTCTCTGGACAGGAGCTTCTCTTCTTTCACTGGGCCTGCAGTGGGAAGAGGGGCTATCCCTTCTTCAGCTAACAGTACCTTCGGGGCAATTAGGACTCGCTTACTATGGCGGGCCAGCTCTGAGCTCATGAGCGAAGCCACCAGGGGCAAAGGCACCTTCACGGAGGGCTGCAATACCAGTGACTGGTTCACTGGGAACTGGATGGGCACTAGGTACGAGCTGACTCGTGGAAGCAGTGGCTTCATCTTTCGGCGTGCACCCAGTGGGAGTTCAGTTTTCATGGTCATGTTCCGGCGCAGATCAGGGTTGGGTCGTTTCTGGTGCTTAAACAATTGGTCTAATGTCAAGTAGCGATTAGCACTGGGGTGAATGGTCCAAAAAGAGACCTTGCCATTAGCAGACATGTCATGGAGAGAAAGGTTGTGGCGAATGGAATTCTTCCAGCCTGGCTTGGCAGTGTGCTTAAAGTAAGGAAAGTAGTCCTCAATCCAAGTATAGATGTCCTTCAAGGTCATATTCTTCCTTTCAGTGCTATTGATAGCAAATTGTATCATGGCCATGTACGAGTAGGGTGGCCGCTCTGATGGGGAGTCCTGCCAGGATGTTGATGCTGGAGGCTCCTCAACCTTAACCTGATTCTGTTCCACATGACGATTTTCTTTTTCCTCCATTTCTTGTTTGATGTCACAGGAACCCAGTCCATCAGAACTCATCTTCCCAAGCCACTGGATGTTGGTCAAGCTGTTGTCGAGAGTGCAGCCTGCTGCCTCACCGCCAACACAGCTCTCCCATCTCTGCCCAGGAATGGCTCCAGGTGGTCTAGTAAGAGTTGCATCCCTAGTTGTTGGCTTTGGTCCCAAGGTCTCAGTGATCTCTTCTGTCTTCTTGACATCATTGCTGTCTTGGCATGGAAGCTGGTGTCCCAGTGGGTGCTTGGGGGCTCC